AGCATTGAGGGAAGGCTACCCACCTGCTAACTCCGCACGTTGAGATTTCATCAACGTTAAGCGTGGGGAGGGTTCAGGGCATGGCGGATCAACGTTAAGCGTGGGGAGGGTTCAGGGAATGGCGGATTTACGTTCAGCGTTTTTTGAAAGAGAGAGGAATCAGGGATGGAACAATTGTGGGAAAATGCGTTCCGCCCATTTGGTCTGGCTTAGAGCGATTTAGGAGTGAGCAGGATTTGAGGTGTCGGCTTTGGGCTCTGGATGAGTTAGGCTTCAGGGCGCAGCGATATAATTGAATATTATTCAGGACTAAAGCTTGGTGTTGCAGGAGATTGGGGAGGTTTGCCATTCAGGGCTTAGCACAGAAGTCAATAGATTGGGCTTTAGGCCGGCTGACGCAAGAGTTTAGGCGCAACTAGCGAGTTCAAGCATCATTGAAGTTCCTTGCGCATGCGCCCCTCCCCTCCATGTAAAGCCCGGTCTCGAACCACGCTACACGCCACAAACCCGAAAAGGACTAAGCATCTGGCACGGCCTATGTGAGGCTGGCGCTTAAGAGATCGTAAGTGGGTTCAGAACACTAGCTATGAGCAGCTTTTGATCCTAAACTCTTCTTCCCAAACATCCTGCACCCTAAACCTCATAAGTAAACTCTCACTCTTTCCGGATAGCCTCAGCTCCAAACCCTAAAAAGCTTAAGTAGTTCGACAAAACATCATTCGAGGCTACGAGTCCCTAGATGTTGTTCCGAGTGAGGGCTTGTCTGACAGGGGGCCCCTACTAGGAGACAAGGGAGCCGTAAAGTCTAAAACCCGAAACCCTGAAACCCTGTTTACGACCTAGTGAGGCGGCTACAAGACCTGGGCTTCGATCGCCAAACTGCGGTGAAGGCTTCAATGGCTTCAGTCCTTTTTCGTTGACTCTGGTTTAGTAAGGCATACCGCTTAAAGGGGATACGAGTCGTACGAGGATGTTGGCATATTTTTGCGAAGAGAGAGAGAGAGAGAGAGAGAGAGGGGAGAGTCTGGCATTTCGGATTCAAGGTTTGCGGCCTCGGGGGTGAGAAGCTAAGGGATACGGGGTGTATGGCTTTGGCGGCAAGGTTTCGAGTATTTGGAATGGGGAAAGCGGCGCTATCGCTGGGATACTCCAACTTCATACTAGGGGCTGTTTGATATGAGCATGTTGGTTTTATGAGGATTCGCTAGGAGACATTTTGATGGATCGGTTGCCCACTCAGCAGGGGCTACAGCAGAATAGGAGATCTATGATTTAGATGGACCCCAAGTGGACCCACCACCCAGTCATGGGGACTGTCCGGGATGATTGCAGTTATATTACACTGCGAAATCCCTGTTTACCACAGGGTGGGGATCCACCTAAGATTGTTTTCTCTGATTTAGGGATCACCATTGGAGAGTTTGGAGCTTAAGCATAGGGTATGGGGTTCCAAGATGTGAGCTACAGGGCTAATACACTGACCGTGAACTGCAGTTTTGTAGGGGTGTGCTGAAAAGAAGGCTTGTCGGATTTTGTGGATATAAACCCGGACCACAAGCCTCGCAGACTTACTGTACTTGGAATTCAGCGTCAGGTTACTGCGTGGGATTGTGCCTGCTCTGTGGAACTCAAATGATTCTAGAAACCTCAAGAAGTAGAAGAATTATCCACGAAGGTCGTTAAGATTCACAGCGAGGGCACGCCTCCAGACCCTTCGACTCTTCAACCCTAAACTCTGGAAGCCTAAGCCTACTGCCGATAAACCTCTCAGCCCCAGACCACACTGAAACGCCAAACCCGAAGTGATAGTTTCCTTAGGTAGCGAAACCCCCAACGTAGACCACAAAACAGTATGGTCCTTATTGACTCATGGGACCCCAAAAAATTACCGCGAAATTTGGGAAACCCAGAGTAGGGCTTCAGGCAGTCAGCCAGGCTCACGGGGTCTCGCACCCTGGGTCACTCGAATGGAACGGGCTTTAAGGTATACCAGATGTACCACGGTTATGTAGCCAAAAGAGAGTAATGCACTCTCAGGATGCTATAGACTATTTCTCAACATTAGCCGTCGCCATCTTCTACGGCAGCGAGGGAGATTCTCCATTATTGTCCTTGCGACCTAAGCAGTAAGCCCTGAGCGCTTCGCCGAAGATCCTTGAGCCCCAAACCCTACGCCCCAAAACTGAAAACCCCAAACACTAAACCTGAGCTTCAAACCGAAGCACCCAAAAACCCGACCCCTAAACAAAGGGAGACGAACGGAGGTTTCCCAAAATCAGGGTGCCATGTTGGGCTCCCCGTAACAAGATTATAGTACTGGTGTTTTTGTTGGTGTTCCCCTATACTGGACACTACAAAATGAACAGCGGCCCTTGACAGGCCTTCTGGCACTGCCCTTTGGCTGCAGATTCCAGACACACCTATGGGGATAATGCAAAAGAATATTGAGACTACTATTATAGTAGATTGGGGTTCTCTTGGGATTATGGAAAAGAAAATGAAAACCAGATTTATTTCAAAAGGGTATGCATGACGTAGAGCTTCCAGTAGGGTTAAGGTGATTGCGCGGGAAGAACAGTTGTGAGGTCATGATAACTCTACGGGGTGTCCATTTTTGAGGAGAGACCAGAAGTAATATAGAAATTCCATTTTTTGGAGGGGTATAACGGTCTTGGGGATCATGGAGGAATATTATAGGGAGCAATTCTGTGGTGTGTACAAAATAAGTCTTCTGCAGTGACAGAGTCCGAGCCCAGGTTGAGGGTGCAGGACCAGAGGGATGGTGTTCGAACATCCAAAGAAAGTTTTTGATTGTGTTCATAACAGTTTCCATATGCCCCCGGGATTCCCTGATCATCATCACGAACCAGGGCTCAGGACTACGACCATAGCTGCAGAGGTGCAATCCCTATCTTGAGAGCTTGCTATCTAGAATCTGCATTGTTCAGGGCGTGCACGAAGAGTATGCAGACCCACTGTGGAAGTTGTGCAGACCTTTGCTTGGTTTAGGACTTAGGGTTTAGGACCTTTGGCCGTAACGCTTGACAGAGCCTGAAGCAAGCAAGCAAGCAAGCATGGTAGAGTGCTACCATCTTTGTTTCAAGTCCCTTCAGCTCTACAGTTCTGAGTTTTGTTAATGTATACCCCTGATTCATAACAAACCTTCCTCTTGTAAGAGGGAACTGTACAACAAGGATTCAAAATCCTAATTTGCTTACCGTTTGCGTATTACTCGAATCCTCGCAGAATCTGTCTCCATGATAAACCGCCAAAGACAGAAAGCTCCTGGAATCTGGGTGTGTGGGACGCAATTGAACCGAAACCCGTGCATTTAGCCCTCATCCTGAACCCCAGCCGGAAGCCTATGCTTCTGGGAGTTTGTGTCAAAACCATGGTGAACCCCTCAAGCTTAATCCCAGGCCCCCTATACCCAGGTCACAAGGATGAGGAGTTAGCCGGAAATCGGCTGCTCATGTGAGTGCGGCTGATCAGTGCAGAGATTCTTCGCAGATACAAGGGCTTACATGGGTCACTGCTGAGCGTAATGACATATTCCATTGCAACGCAACCAATAGTCATACATGACATTGAAATCCACAAAGGACTATGCAGCTAAGTGGTTTGATAGTACACCAAGCCAATAAGGGATCGGTTAGAGTCCTTGTAGACGTTCATTCATAGTTTAGGGACCGCATATCTGGAAAACCCTAAGCCCTAAGCTGAGAGGTTGGGGGGGTTCGGATTAGGAGTTTCTAGCCCTCTTCATGTGGAGTGACCTCATGGTAAAAAGGTGTATGGTTGAGGCATCGGGGGTTAATTTTGGGTAGGCTCTGCATCCTGCACCTTATTTGTAGACTTGGTAGCTTGAGAGCAATAGTAAGTTGGTGGTGGGATGGCATTTGTTCCTTCCAGAGGCTTAGCACATTTGTTTTTGGAGTTTGGGGCTGGTGTATAATTAACATGCAAGCCAATGCTTGCGTAATTGCTGTTTCATGCTACGTGCAATTGCAGCTACACATGCAAAATCCATGGTTTATGGTGTGAACCTGAAACATGAAGCTCTAAATCTTCACAGACAACCCCAGAAGCCTTTGGAATCGCTTTGTTCATAGACCGGGCAAAGTACCCAGATGCTGGGGCATGTAGGTATACCAAAAGGTCCATGGGACATGCTGGGGTTAGAACGCTACTTAAAGATGGGGTCATAAATGTCGGCCCCGTTGGGTTGTTCTAGACAAAAGTAGCGGTAGTTAAAAAGTCCCATGAACCGCCAATGGTACCTTTGACCCCTGTCTTTGGGTTCTTGGCCGTCACTTGCTAGTTGTAAGTAGGGAATGGATGCAAGGATCCCCTCAAGAATCCCCAATCATGGAGTGGTTTCCTGTTTTGTCCATTCCTTCCTTTCCGGCTAGCGACCAGCATAGCTCCGAGCAATCAGGCTCGGGGGAAGGCAGAGACTCTTAGCCTCTTGCGGGCAAAAGCCTGTGGCAACTCAAGATGGGTCGAGGTGAAGGATTGAGGCTTAAGGCTTTAGGCTTAGCATTCTGGGGTCTAGGGTTGGGAGTCCTAACCTAACTTCAGACAGTTAGGATTTTGGGGTTAAGGATTAGAATTCAGGGGTTGAGGGTCAGGATCCGGGACTTAGGATTAGTTTGACATTTGTTGTTTCCAGACTTCTACAGGGTTTGGGGTGAAGGGTTCGGGATCTTGCGCTTGATCCGCATGGAAGGGTGAGCATGCATTTTGGCAAGCATTATTTGAGATTGTACGGAGATGACTACATTCCTTCATTCCAGCATGATGTTCATAGAACAGACTCGCCTGTTCTTGGCTGGCACAGATACACGGACGAACTGCGCCGAGTTTGCCAAGCATCTTACCAAAGAAGTTGCATGACATCAGGAGCACGAAGTCACGACTCACACAGCGTCTGTGCAAAAGAAGCAGATCGGGCGCGCTCAGAGTAAGACATCTTTGGTGGCCTCGCAACGCAGCTTGGGATGTCCCTGGACAAAATGCCGGATCTGGGCACGAAGCCCTGACCTCAGAAGGGTTTAGGGCCAATGCAAAACAAGGCACTGCTCAGCACCCTGCGTCACTACATCCCTAAACTTGGAATGCACTTGCCCCCCTCTAATTCTTGGAAAGCCCAGAGGGTATTTTCCAGAAATGGGGGTCCCTAATATGGATCCAATCTATCACATTCTGCAAGCTGGCCTCCAAAGCATTACCAGGCGGAGAAGCTTCAAGCCTTGACTTGGTTTTAAGGAGGCTATAGACATGGTGAGGGTAGACATTCTATAGCTTCTTCAAGAACATAGGTCAATACATATGTATGTATACATGTTCGGTGTCCTCTCAGAACCCACAAGTAGCAGGTGATGGAGAAATGGAACAGAGAATGGAGTCTATCACATCATCCAGGGTTGAGGGTTCAGGGTCAGGGGACTTAAGAAGTTGACTAACGGCGATAATCGGAGTGAATACATTGCTGTTCGGGTTTAGGAGGATTCTTACAAAGTTCTTCTGTGACCATCCAAGAAGGGTCAAGGCTTTGGGATCGTAATTTTGGCTTTGGCGCTTTCGGGTTGAGGGGGCATGTTTGTTTGGGGCTTTGAGGTTTAGACTTTATGTGGTTCAGTGCAGCGCGCAAGTAAACCTGCGGCAATTTACACTAAACCCATCCCCATCTGTGTTTCTATATGAGGTAGGTGTGAAGCTCTTAGGTGTTCAGGGCTAGCTTTCAGCTCGTGACCTTGAAGTGTCGTTGAGTTTGTGCTATACCTTCATGCCTATCCATACTTGGTTCACGATACAACTGCTGCATCACGTCCATGTTTCACAGGACCGCGGCCAGATGCAAGTTTTCTGGGACTCTCTCGAAACAAGCCTCCCTCAACATATCCCCGAAGAGTTCGAACTCACAACGTAAGTTCTCGAGTGTAAGAAGGACAATTGAAGCTGGAAAGCCCGTATACCTGCAATGCGTAATCCATATATCTGCAATAGGCGTAGACCCTCAACCCAATCCCTACTTGAAGCCCTACACCCCAAATCCTAGGCCAGTGTCCCTCACGGTAAAGCTGCCTGCGCAGAAGCCATGCGCCCAGAAACTTCAGCACTGGGACCGTCAGTTTGCTGGTCGTAGGGTTGCAAATGCCCCCCCTCCCTGCAGGGCTTAAGGCCTTGTACCATATGAGATTAGATTCTGCAGTGTAGTACGGGCCTGGAGTCTAAGATTCACGCTTAAGCACGGCACTGTGTTTAGGTGTTGGGTTCAGATTGGTCAGTTTCGGTTACATGGAGGCACACTTTCTGGTGGCAGGGCTGCCCTCCTCAAGCTAACATGGAACCCCAAAGAACGATTGCCCTTTGAAAAGGGGCGCTATGAGATTCCAGGCTAGCTTGGTGAAGGGCAGGGTTTAGGTGTTCGAGGCTTGGCCCGCCCATTACCTTTGCACGAGCATTCACACGGCAATTACTCCGTTTCGGAATAAGCGACGACCAGACAGCTTGGGATTCAAGGCAGCTCTATCTGCGTGCGTTCGGATGACCCAATGTTCTGTCCAGAGGATCTCCAGCTCAGCAATTACCCATAGCCTCAACCTCTAAACCCTAAACCGTCAATCCCAAACCCTCAGCCTGAAACAATTGCCCCCAACACTGCTTAAGCCTTCAACTTTTCTCTATGCCAGGCATTCTGGGGTTGACCGGCTGGCGGAAGGTGGCAACAACGGCTAGGTATGTTCTTCTGCGCGCCCTGCGGGGTACGGAGATAGATGCATACAGAGATGTAGCTTTGGATATGCAAGTGTGTGTGTGTGTATGTATATACATTTGTCCGTGAGGTATGGGGATGCCAGGGTTGTGGGCCCATGCAAGGCGCCCATGGCTTGAAACTTTAGATGCTGGCCTTCCATTTCGGATTCAGGGTGTAGGTTCTGGAGAGTAGGGCAGTGTTCAGGGATGAAGGTTTCAGATTTGGGGTTTAGGCTTCAGTGATCTTGTGAGCTTTAAGTGGTTTTACACATCATGCAGGCGTTCGAAGGGATGGCTTTTGAGGCGTGGGAGTTGGGGTTGAGTTCTAGATTCTAGTCACGCCCAATTGGTTTCAGGGCTTACAGATCAGAAACGGGTTCTTGGGTTCAGGATTCGACTAGGGGTTGGGATGCAAGGCACCTTGAAATTCAGTAGTCCACTAATGCAAGAATGATCGAGGCGTACCCCAAATAAAGAAGTACCAAAGAGCCCTGATCCGACAATCCTTGCAACGCACTCTTCGCTTGTCATCCTGGCCCTCTTCATGCCCCGAGCCCCGAATCATACCTCCAAACCCTCCCTTTGCCATGGATTTGAACTTTCCAACTCGCGGAGGCCTCCGGGAGCTCTACAAGCAACCTGCCTGAAAAGGAGGGTTCGGGTTGCAATTAAGGATTTGGGACTCGGGGGGGTTCCAAAGGAAGAGGCCCTTAGGAACCTTGTGGTTATGCAGGAATGCAGTGGGATTCGGGAGATCCTCATCAACATTTCTAGAAGGGGCGTTTTGTATTTGATAGACCGGCACCAGGATCACCATGGAGCCCGCAAAGATAATTTCCAGCGTATGAGGTATATCTGTAATGGGGTGCGATGTCCTCCATCCAAGGTATGAGTAGGGGAATGGATCTCAAGGAGGCTGCAACGGACAGCAGCAGTCCTCGAAGGTTTTGCTTCAAGGAATGTATGGCTGCCGTGGGTAAGTGTGAGAGTGTGGGATAGTCATCTCAATTAAGGGAATTATTGCTGGCAGAGTAGAAGGCTTTGGAGTTTTGATTGATGCGTTTAAGGGTTCAGGATCAGAGTGTAGAAGCGGAGAGGTTTAGAGTTTCCAGACATTGGGATCAGTTTTAGTACAGATCCTCGTGCGGGAACTCTTTGCTAGTTACAGCTTCTTTTGTTTTGTTGTTGGATGGTCAGGTTTTCTATACCTTTCCGAAGTGTTCAGTCGTCGTTTTTGACGGTGATGCTTTCCCCATCATCATTTTCCAAATTTTAGGTAGTGTGAACCCCAATATGTTAGAAGCTGCAAAGTGATCTTAGGCCGTTGGTATGATGGTGGGACACCTGCGGCTTCATGTTTTTGAAGTCTTGGTTGAAAGATTGTTTGGTGTGTGGAGGGGGATTCGCCCTTTATAGGCTTCATCTGTTCTCCTTCAACAGCCATAAAGTATTCACTATGCCAAGGGAATTCCCGACTCTCCATTTGGAAGCCATTTTCAACTTGGAGTGTGAGACTGGGTATCGAACCAGGCCTGTTGGAAGAGGGGTCAAAATTAATTAGCATAGGCAAGTCTCTGCCACAACATTCCGTACTCCAAATATGTAGCAGGGAAAGGTTGATGATTTGGGGATGGCGCGGGGGAGAGCATTAGTCAGGCCACGGAGCAAAATTCAAAGTTGCAAGTTTCAGAAATGAAGGCTCTCAACCTCCAGAACTCCAGCCTGACAAGCCTGAAAGGTGTCAAAATTCAGTGTTCAGAGCTGATGGCAACCAATGATTTATGCTTGTTGTCCTTCGATGCTTATACTATAATATGCGTGAAGAAGCATTGCCACTTCCCTTTTCTAATAACTTGGGCACTTGTACCAATCGGTACACTTGGCCGCTGAGGCGCGGGGAGTTCACAGATGTCGCTTTGGTTCTGCTGGCTACATTTCGGGCGCAACAGGGCTTGAAGCTTTAGGGTCACAGGAGCTGCGGTCAGCGTAGGGGTTTGGGATTTGCCTGGCCTTTCCAAGTAGCTCTTTGTTGATTTGCCACATGTGGCCTTTGGGTTATGATTCCAAAGCAATTTTTCTCGGAAGGTATGGATAGATAAGTCATGTTGGTTTGGAATTCTGTCGGTATAGGTCGGCAACTAGCTGAGTTCGCACCCACTAATGGTGACCAAACGGATGAATTGGGTCCCTATATGTGCATGTGCCTTCCATCTGGAAGCATTAATAATAGGCGAGAGGACCACCTACCCGCATAGTTGGTTCCGGCGTCGGGTGTATCAGAATGAATTGCACATGTCTAATCAGAGTTCCTCGGTTTTCCCCCAAAGGCAGGCGTAGGCTACTTCTCCTGGGGCCTCCTAAAATGGGACTGATGGAGAACCGCCACGTCAAATTCTGAAAGGTTTATTCAAACACTATGGCGTCGTAATTGTATGAAGGAAGGAAGGGTAACATGCGCGCTGCTGTGTGGAGTATGGTCGACATACATGTCCTTGGTCCCTGGTCGGCATGTGGAAATGTCCTTACCTGCGCGGGAGTGCAAGTAATGCTTGTGGCTCATAAAGCCCATGAGCAATGAAACACTAATCTATGTCATAGATTAGTGTTTCATTGCTCGTGGGCTAGAGAACTCAAAGTCTTATGTTGCGCATGATTGCTCCTTTCCCTCCTATGATGCTTGTTAAGTGGGCCACTGATGAACACTGCAGCCCATTCGAGGGTGCTTTTTGAAGCGGCATGGCAACCTGCATCCTTATTATATTATTTCCAACTCCTCAAGCAATGGCACCCTGAAGGGGATTGTCCTGGACTTGAGTATAGATTATTCGGAGGTGATAGTGCAGTCCTAGATTTTGATTACGGGTAGGCCTTCGTTTTGTTTGTTTAATGTTTGAAGCAAGTGGGCCTTTCTGAGCTTGACTGTGTACAAATGTCTTCTCAAACCATAGCTACAAACCCTTGGCTAACGATCTTGATGATGAAAGTTTAATGTTGAGGGTTAGAGGTTCTTTGCTCAACAGCAATCTCAAGCCGTAAACCTCAAACCAAAATCTCTAATTCTCACCACTTATCCTTATCTGTGGTCATTATTGGTTGTTGGACATTTGGGGATAGTTGGGTAGCTATCGGCAAAGCTTGAGATATTGGAGTATGATGAAGGTCTTTCGGGCGTCCCATTTTACCATAGAGAAACTCCGGTATCAAGGTCGTCATCCTCTATGATGTTCCTGCGGTTGGCATCATAATCGAAAAGTCGAGGCTTTTGCGTAAGACAGGGAAGTAAGCGGCAAATGCCTAAGAAGCCCTTGACAGTTCGCCAACTTTGGGGGTAGGGAAAGTGTTCTTGACCTAAACCCCAAGCCCTAGATCCAGAAACCTAAAGCTTTGTCCCTAAACCGCACTGTCTAAGTCTTAAAGCAGAACCAAAACGATCGCACATCCCTTTCTCCAGCTTCATGCGAGCCACGGTCAATATGAAGGAATGTGAGCTGGCTATTTTGAAAGAAGTCTTTATGTTGGTACTTCTGACTGTAGCTCATGTGTTGGGCATACTCCAGGCTACAAAGGACCGCCACCAGATTAAGCATTTGACTCTCCAAGCCTACTATGCTTCTCCATGTCCTCTAAGCTCGACCTTAAGCTCCAAGCTGAAAAATCCTTAAGGCTTTCTCAGCTTCCTTTTTTAAAATGAGTGCATTATGGTTGCTTAGGAAAAGGAACATGTAATGCATTCATATAGGGCCTCCGTTTGAGAACATGGCGTCAAAACAGGACCTATCCTCCAAACGCTTGTTCCTTCTTTGTAACTCTTGGCCCGAAGCTGTCAGACGGCAGACGCACGAGTACACTGCGGCACAATCATCGGGTTTTATGGTGTAAATGAGGATTTTTCAGGCGGTCTAAAAAAAGGAATACAGAGGGTTATATAGGGATTATACAGGGGTGAGATAGGGGTCATTCTAGGATAGATAACCGTAGGGCTACAGCGGAACTATGCGGTCTAGTTTGCAAGGGCACCCTAAAACACTGCCATTCGGGTAATGACCAGGGCTCCCTTTGGAATCCCGCGGATCAAAAACCTTTGAGCTGGGCGCGCGATGGCTTAACTGCTGGAGTTTACGAGATCATTCAAGAGCGAACAACAGTCTCGTTCAGAACAGGGATTTTGCTTGACAAACAGCCTCGTGCTCAATGGCTTCTGCAGCGGACCAGGGGGCCAAGGAGAATGTGGAGATCCACATGTTTTCTGGTTAGGCTGTACTAGGGAGTTGGAGTTTAGAGTATGCATGTCTGACGTGTCTAGGGTTGGTGTGGCTTGGGCTGTTGCGTATTTACTAGAGAGTTTAAGTCGAGCTTCTCTCATGCTCATCTTCTGCTAGCATTTAGCAACGGGGTCGAGCCTAAGCTCTTCCGCAGAAAACGAAAAACCACTGCACCCGAACATTGATTTTGTCTATCCTGTTTTCTGAGGGCTGGAAGATTATGGGCTTACTGCGAACTGGGATTCTGGGAGTTTTGAGGTAGGCTACGGTGTCAGCGTTTGTTATTTCCTCTGTGGCTTTCGGATGGCAGGGACGCTAGCAACCCATAAGTTAGCGTATGCTTCGTTTCGTTTTGGTTGTTTGGTGTCGTCTTTAGGGTGGTGTCCCTTGGCCTTGAATCTGCCACTACCCCTCCTCAGCGCTAAACCCGAACCCTCTTCCGCCAAAACAAAAAAAAGCGTCTCCCACCTCCAAACCCTAGACGTCTTTTCTTGGGCAAGGTTCCGCGGCAACCTGGAAGATGTGCCAGAGGCCCCAGTGCCACCAGGCTTCTCCCTCCGCCAGGCAAGGACACTTTGAGTTTAGGGCCTGGGTTTGCAGGTTTGAGGTGTGTGGACAGGGCTTCAGAGTAAGGGGTTTAGGAAGTTTAGGACTTTAGGGTTCGGGCCATGGGCTTTCACTTAAAGCGGCTTCTTTGGAGCCAGAGGAAGAATCAGTTACGCCCCAAGTGGGAGGACGGTACTTGGTCCAGGACCCTTGACTCCTCAGCCTGCAAAATCCTGAATCCCAAACACCTGAAATTCTAAGCCCGTAAGCCCTGAACTTTGTCTTCCCGTGCAGGGCCCCGACCCAGCTTCTTGGGTTGCGATTCAGCGGCTCGTCGGCAGCTGCTTATTTCGGAGCGCAAAGTACCAAAAGCATGAGTGTCTAGGGCTTGGTTGATTTCAAGCCTTAGGGTTTGAAGCTTAGAGTTAAGGATGTAGCCTTTACGGTGATACCAAGCCAGAGGGTCCAAGGACCCGAGAAATGGGATCTTTCATTCAAATTCTTCCATTTGGCACATGGAAGCTCATCAGTATTGGAGCAAGGAATCCTTTTTCCCTCTACCGGGGCTCCTAGCAGAAGTTGCGGAAGTCTCCATAGTTAACGGATGTCAACTTCTTCGAGGCTGTATTCCGGGCCCAAAACAAAGGCCCTGTGACTCATAATTTGCACTCGGCAGACTTGAATTAACAGTAAGTGCAGAGACGCCTTACACCAAGTTCTTCCGTGGTATCTTTCCCATTAAGTGAAGTAGATCTGGCACCTAGAGGTGACTATTCTACTTAAATGGGCCCTTAATTGCATTATCATGATACCGAAGTCTGTCAATATAGTCGCATATAATCCAAACCTGATAACACCTGCATAAACGCCTGAAACCCAAAACCTTACAGCCTAAACCATTCACCCTCAGACTCTACACCCTGTCCCAACACTTTAAACCCTACCTAAGCCCTTTACGCTAGGCCCCATGCTTAAACATTACTTTACTTTGGAGTCAACACCTAGATCAGGTCAGCAGCCGAGCCTTTTCTGAACATCAGTCTCGAGGGTTCGCAGGACTTCATGAGTTTGGGGGTTAGGTTTATGCCTGAGGTTCAGGGTCAAGGGGTTCAAGCTCTACCATTTCCCTGAATCCTATGTAGCCCATGATTGTTGGGTTACAGGTTACAAAAATGGAAGACATGATTTGGATAAGCTGGGCCTCATAGAGTCAAGGTAGGGGTTGGCAGGGTTAGGACTTTAGGATGATTCTTCAAATTTCCTGGTGAGTCCAAGGGGAGTTCGCAGATCGCATAGAAAGCCATCTATCATATCGAAGTGAATTAAATGAATTTAACCCCAACATCATCCCTGGAGACCCCTGGAATCCTCAGATCCCTGCATATCCCTGGGCCTACGACCTTGAATCCCCAAAACCTCGAAACCCTCAAACCCTAAAGCTCTAAGCCCGACAACCTGTAATCCCCTCCGCCCTAGAATCTGAAGCCCTGAAGTCGGGAGACCCTTAAACCCTGAACCCGGAAACTTCACAACCATGCAAACCCCCGAAGCCCGGAATTCCCGAACCCTGAATCCTAAAAAACAAACTGCATGCAGGAAGGCGCCTGGCAGCATGAGTTCCAGCCAGGCGAGGGAAATTTGCTGCGCGGCTGAAGATGCAAATCTGATAGTACGGGCCAAAGATTGAAGAATCTAGAGCTTTTGGGTTGAGAGCGGTTCAGGGTTTAGAGCTTCAGGAATGGGTTTGTTGCCAGAATTTGGGGTTTGGAACTTACGGCTTCTCAAGTTTGTTATTTTCTTAAGGGACTGTCATAATTCGGATTGGTATAACAGTCAGCGTTCTGCAGGAAGGCCACAAGAATTTAGCAATCGCGACATATTAGAACCTGCGTGGGTGAGGGTAGTCCTTACCTCTCAAAATCCCAACACTTGGTTTGTCACGGGTGGTAAAGGAATCCTTGCAGCACATGCCATGGGAGCTTTGAGGGCCGCGCATAGGCCTGCGTTCGAAGAGGATGGCAGTGCGGTTTCCTTCGAGGAGGCACCAAGTTCGGGTTTGAAGGATATCAGCTTAGATGTCAGGGCTGGGGGGCAGGGCGGTACGGGAGGCT